TACAGATGTGTAGCTCTTTCGCGCTCGTTAACGTGTGCACGTCATGCATGGTATAATTTCAATAGCGACCAACACACGCATCCAACGAAGTCATTCGAGGTTGATATAACAACACTTACTCATTCTGGACGTCTCGACAAATACAACAGTCACGCTGTTGTGTGTTTCAAGTTCGGCCGCTGAGTTTTGCTGGAGATCATTACTACACAATCATTACTAGAGGCGGCATTTTTTTCTCCAGTATCAAAGCTGGAATGAGTTATTCGCATAAAAGCTTTCAACGGTCCTAATTTACATGTGCACCCAATGTAGAAGTTATTACATCTTTCTTAATCCAGGTGATGTCTACTGAAATAATTTTGAAAGTATTAAGCTAATATCTAATTTCAATGATTTTTGAGAACTTAACGCACATTTCTTAAAATAGCCGGTACAGTAAGATACCACTTGCAAGAACTTGTATAAGTGGCTATTTATGAGAAAAAAGCAGAGGAGGCACTTGGTTTTGTGTTCCTTATCGGGGACAATGTACAAACTATTCAGTAGAACAATTTTCTGAAAATCTCCCCCCGAAGCACCATTGGACCCAATGCACCATATTTGACTTTAGGAACTGTTAGTGAGCAAGTAAAAACAGCTAGAAAAAGTGTCGTGCTTCTTGTAAATTCCTTGTTATTCACAATTTTGCATTCTGTGAATATTCTGCGATGTATCAGGCTGTAAATTAAAAGTTATCTGCGTTATGTGGACAAGTTTGTCTGATTGGCTCTCAAGGTCCTGCAGTATATAACACTTTTTTTTTTTAGTCAGAGCTGTTTTAAGAAGGTATAATACTTGAGACTGGAAACAATTAGTGCAGTACGTGTGCACCACGCTGTACACCCAACATCCGAAAACGTGTTTTACGGCACTGCACGCGTAAAATAATTGGAATTTTTCTTTCTGTAGCAGGACTAAAATTGGAGCGGGCAGTATACACACGGCGATTTGATCACTTTAGAATTGCAAGTAACAACAGCCGCGACAGAGTTAAAGTTCTTAGCAACTATGCTATGAGGAAGCGCAATGGAAAGACTCGAGTATGTTATGCTTTCAAGCATCGATTCTTTATCTTGAACAGCCCGAAAAGACATAACTATTTTAGTTAAGACATAGCTAAGACCAGCACTAAACATTGCCCGGTGTGGCGTTACTGTGGCAGCGAAATGAAAAATCTCTGAAATATACAGTCGGTGAAGACGTTTTTGAACAGCTGCTTTGGCGTCTTGCCACACAGACTACGCGCTTCCGTCTGCTAGCGGAAGCTTTTTGCGCCATTAGCGCTACCAAACCGGAAGCTGCAGGCAGTTTTGCATCTCACACTGGTTTTAAAAACGTTGAAAGCGTTCGAGTGCCTCGAAGCGCACGCCCCGGCCTAAAGTGTGGTCATTCTGTGAAAAGGTCGACGCACCTCTCCTCGCGCGTCCGCCATGTTTTCGCTCACGCTGCGCTTTGTTTAAACACGCAAGTGCGACCTGGGCCTTGTCGCCCGTTATTCGTCGCACGTCTCGCTAGACGAGTGGATGTTGCTTGCCATTGTGCATGAACCATTCTGGGAATCGATAGGATATAATTTCTTTCCCATGGACTCTATAAAGAAGAAATTTATAGACAGTAAGGGTAAAGCGTGACAAGTGACTGTCGATGAGTGCCCTCGTGCACGCAGCGTGAGTATTGTAAGCTTTGTTATTTCCTGTCACCTTTTCTTTGCTATCAGGTACATTTCGGGTGATTTTTAAAATGGCACGTAGCAACGCAGTTATACATGAGCCTATTACAATGTATGCGTGTGGTTTTTACTGCTGGTTGGTGCCTCTTTAGCGCATATTTGTCGCAGCTTATGATCGAACGTTGAGCTAACTGGTAACGCCAAATGGCTTTATCGCGTTTGAACCATTATCATAATTCGCTGTTGTTTTCGGGGTGTGCTTGAAAATCGTACATTCACTGTCACGGGTATCTCCTTTGTTTTCCATGTTGTTACAATTTTGATGTTTGGAGGTGTGAATATGAATATTCTCGCGTCTATAATAAACTGCAACTACTCACTACAGTTTCTGTTTTCTTGCAGAGCAAGAACAACGAATAGAAACATTTTTTTGTTATCCGAGGAAATAATTTACCTAAATTACTTCTTCAAACGAATGCTTTTTGGTGTACCATATGTTCTTCCTAATTTCGACGTGGAATTCATTACAGTAAACAAATGGCTGCACATCCATGAAGTGAATGCTGATGATGAAGCGAAGGTCCTAAGGTCCATATTGCCTTCGTTGAGGCCGACGACAAGTATAAAGGACGGGCCGATTCATGAATTGATTGACGCAAAGACGGACAGATCCAATATGAGTGAATAGATGTATGAAAATATGCACGAACGGACAGACGGGCGGGCGGATACACGGACGGATGAACGGACGCTCACACTGATGAACGGGAACGCATGGTCGAACAGAAAAATGCATTGACAGATGGACGCACGGATGAACAGATACGCGGAAGGGCGCACGCACGGACAGATAGAAGGATGCACGGACGCACGGGCGCGCAGATACACGGACGAACGCACGCGCAGTCGAACGCACAGACGCACCGATAGACTGACGGAAGGAAGGATGTACGGATGGACAGATGTATGGGCAGACGGGCGGGTAGATACACGGACGGGCGGATGGATGGATGGAAGCACGCGTGGTCAGACAGATGCACGGACGAACGCATGGATAGACGGCCGGAGGGACAGGTAGCGTACTGTATGTTTTTAAACCTGTATGCGCGCAATGACCACTTTATGTACAATATATGTAACACCTGTGTTTTGCTGCGACGGGGAGCTACGGTGACGACGGTCATCGTGAGAGCCCAAGGAGCTTCGCGCCTAAAAGTAGGTGCATCACATGCGTATATACATTTTGATGTTTACTGCATTTTCGCTGGTATTAGCTCGAAATGAGAAATACAGCCATATTTTAAATAGGTGTTTCGATTGGAGGACTCGAATGCGAGTATATCTGGCAAACGGTCACATAAAGCAGCAGCCTCGAAACTTGCGCGCAAATCCTAATCGCTTTAAGATTTCGCTAAACAGCGAGTACATAGGGTTCTCAAGCCTGCAAGTTTATGTACCAGCAAATTCGTTTGTTCGGCATGCTGTGCGTTTGATTTGTACAAAATACTAAACAAATAAACACGAGCATATAAACCCGCTATGTGTAAAAGCGAATAGTGATCTCTGCTGCTCTCAGTGCTCCTATGCAGCTGTGCACTATTTAACCGCAGCCAGCAGCCCAGGTGATGCACTGGCAGTGAGAGTTATTACGTTCTGCAACACCTTCAGGCGCGAAATATTCGAGTAGTTGTAGGGATGCCTGCCTACAAACCTATAACTAACAACATCCGTGAATTATTATGCGTTTTATAATGAAAGTTCACCAGAAAGTGCCTCTTATGAGCAATCTGCGCGCTTATAGTCAGCGCATTGAGGAGTGCTCCAAGTAATGGCGACCGCTGTAGGAGAAGATGCACTTGTCTCCACCCTCTGTGGAGCAGAGGTGGACAAGCGCATCGAGGCACTCTATTAGGTAACTCCATGCTCCCAACCGGGCTGCAGAAATTAGGTGCCTTCTTCCTCTTCTAACCACTACCACCACCACAAGGCGTCGGTTTTCCATAGCCCGAGCGCTCGCCTTCTCGATGTGGTTTTGAAAGATAGGGATGGTGAGATAGGTGAAGAGAAAAGTGTGTCGTGGTAATTGTCTCTCTCTAAGAAGGTGACCTCAACAACGCCACAGGAGGGATATGTAGTTTGGCAGAGAAAGAAATGTCAAAGAGAGAGGAAAAGAGGAGTGTGTAAGTGCAGGTTGTCTTGCTGTCAGTGCAATGAAGTCTTGGTGGAACCGGGCATAAAACAATTTTGTGATAACATTAACCGCATAACACTGTGACGTCCACATGTCTTACGTAAAATGGACTGTACAGATGTCCGGTGTACGAGATAGCGTAAAAAATGGCAGCATATCCACGGAGTGAATGATGGGGAGTGGGGCGAACGAAGCATTCGTCCGTCCATTCGTTCTTGCTTCCGTCCGTTGCTGCGTACGTCTGTGTAACCGTCCTTGCGTCCATCCAACCGTCCGTGCGTGCGTCTGTTCGTGCGTTCTTTCCCTGCGTTCGTCCATGCATCCGCGCCTGCGTCCGTTCATGCATCCATCCATGCATCTGTCTGTGTGTCCGTTCGTCCATCTATTCAGCACTCCAAGTACCACCATCTCGCATCTTTTCATCATATATTCTCCATGTAGAAGCACCGCCATCCAGTGGACATTTCAAAGACTAAACGGGAGTGGCACATGAACACCTTCTTACGGCTTGCGCTTCGGGTTTACTTCCCACCTTTAACCACCTCGAGTTCATGGTATATACTAGTTCACTGTATTCATGGCTATGCGGCCCAACGCTCGCTAAACCTTTCTAAAACCAAGGAGGTTACACCCAGCGAGTATAACGTAGCAACCTTTTCTTGTCAGATCGTGCTCAATGTACATGCCAATAGCTGCTAATGGGGATCGCAGCGTGCGCATTACCTAAAGGCCGAATGCTCCTGTCTCTCATTCCCCCTTAGCAGCCATTAACATGTGCATTGAGCACTATCTTTTTTATTGTTCAACAACGCACAGAAAAATCTCTCACCGGAACCACCTTGGAGGTCAAAATTGTAAGGACCGCTATTTCGGGTATGTGCCACTGGTGGTTACGTACTACGAGGGACGCACAAGCCACGCCATAAGGAGCTTCGCCCCTAAAAAGGAGCTGGAGTCCAAGATTAGAAGTCAGAAATTAACGTGGATGAAACATTAGTGCACGTAAGAGCAGTACCACACAAACGCGTGTGTGTATAGATATCGGTAAAATAGACGCACCGCACACGGGCAATACCATGTCCATAACTTCAGCATGCTACATCAGTCGAGCATATAGAATGACAGCTCACCAGACAGCCTGGATGCGGCCGACCGGGGAGGTCGCGGCGGCGGCGTGGGCTTGGCGTTGCCGTCGTCTAGGGGGTACTCGCGAGGCTCGGAGATGCTGGCGCTCTTAGATCGGCCCACCTGCCGCCACCGGGACAGCAGAGACGACGATGAGGAGGTGGCCCGGTCTACGCTCACAGCCCGCGTCGGGTAGCGGCCGCCACCGGCCGACGTCATTTGCGGGGACCAATTGCGGGCAGGCGGCTCGGGAGGCTGCTGCTGCGGCGGAGCCGGCTCGTGGTGTTGCAGCGGCGATCCCTGAGGATGGAGAGGAACGTTCGAATTCTAAACTGATCAAGCTTGCAGGCATTCTCATTGCAGCTCGTGCAGATGCTGTAGCCCGTGTGCTCACACGTGAGTTCACGGTAAAGAAACTTAAGTGATTGAAATGTCCATAGTCCTCTACTACGGTTCCTCTCATAATCACATATTCGTATGGTGGCTTTGGGGCACTAAACCCCACATATCAATCAGTGCGACTCGCGCCGCACTCATAATTTAGCGACCATCACCGTGGGTGGAGATTTAGTTAGGTTACTGAAGAGCACGTGTAAATATCGATAAGCGCGGCATTTCCACCGCACATTATTGCAGTAGCCTAATTAATGCCGTATTACGCGCCAACACCACTGTACAATTTGAATGTACGCTGCAATGGCGGATTGCGAATTAATACTGACCACTTGCGGTTCGCCAACATCCATCAATGAATTTAGGAAAAGAGGCGTTCCTGAATATCGCCCCCATTGGAATGCGGACGCTGTGGACCGGAATCAAGCCTACGCCCTCGAGCTTAATTAGCAACGCCTGTCCCACATTGAAGACTGGCTGCGAGGTTAAGCACACCAACTGCTACACTAGGTACGCGACTGGTGTGGTGTTTAGCTACGTGGGAAGTCCTACGTAGGGCAGACGGCCAGATGCGTCAATGTCCACATGAGGGAACACGCGAAGGATTCAAAGAAAGATTTCCCAGCGCATCTTTCCGCATACTGCCGAACCAGCTCTTTTGACACGAGATTTTACAATGTAAGGATATATGGCAGAAACGAAGATAAAATGGCAGGTGAACTTCCAAAGGATTCCACTAAGAAAAAAAATTCTGACTGTCTCAGCTGCTCAGCATGTTTATATATTATTCTTGATCCACGCCGTAGTCTGTGCGATGTTGATGATGCGTCTGCGCAGTGGGAGTGCTACATATGTGCCACTTTTTAATAGTCTCCATTAAAGTTGTGAGTCACAGCCTGTTCTGTCATCATGCATTTCATTCTGTTATATGGTTATTCTTAAGCGCTTTACAAATGTTTCTTTGTTGGTTAACGCTCGCCTTGTGTGTACTTAGGCATTCGTTCCACCTGGAATTCTTCGTGTTGAGCTGCGCGCTTTAGATGTCGAGCTGTGACAGCTATTCGCACTTTTCCTGTGTATGTTCACTTCGTGCATCTTTTTCTGCTTGAAGAATGCGCTGCAAGTTTTGAGTGGCTTACCGTTCTTTGACAGAGGATCAGCCATGCTTTTTTTAATGCGAAGCATTTCTTAGCGAACTTCGGAGACTTTAAGCGTATCTATCTATCTATCTATCTATCTATCTATCTATCTATCTATCTATCTATCTATCTATCTATCTATCTATCTATCTATCTATCTATCTATCTATCTATCTATCTATCTATCTATCTATCTATCTATCTATCTATCTATTTATCTATCTATCTATCTATCTATCTATCTATCTATCTATCTATCTATCTATCTATCTATCTATCTATCTATCTATCTATCCATCCATCTATCTATCCATCTATCTGTCCATCTATCTATCTATCCATCTATCTATCCATCTAGCTATCCATCTTTCTATCTATCTATCTATCTATCCGTCTGTCTATCCATCTATCTATCCATCTATCTATCCTATATCCATCTATCCATCTATCCATCTATCCATCATCTATCCATCCATCTATCCATCCATCTATCTATCTATCTATCTATCTATCTATCTATCTATCTATCTATCTATCTATCTATCTATCTATCTATCTATCTATCTATCTATCTATCTATCTATCATCTATCTATCTATCTATGTATCTATGTATCTATCTATCTATCTATCTCATTTCGATAGAAGCGAAATGCCTGAGGCCCGTGTACCCTGTTAAGTCTGTGCAGGTTATAAGACGCCAGATGACCTAAATTTCCGGAGGACTCTACGCCAGCACCTCTAACAATCATATCGTGGGTTTGGGTCGTAAAACCCCGGGTATTATTAAACTCTTACATCACTCGAGCAATATCTTTGCATTAGAGGTGTAAACAGCACTCTGAATTTCGTTTCTATATTTCTTGGCTACAGTAGCTCTCTTGTGGTCACTTTCCCTTGTCTTAATGATTTATTTAACGGCGACTATGAAACGACTACATATACCGTTTCTAAAGCTAGATGAGGAATTGTTTGAATGTATTGTACAGTTCTTTGTTCGGTCAGACGAAAGGGAACAAGAGTGGTCCATTTCAGGATTATAGAAATAGTAGAATGTTAAGCTGGCTGAAGTCCCAGCAGGTAACCCCTTAGTCCCTATTACACAAGTGAGGACTTGAGGGCAAGCTCACATTCCCAAAGGCATGGCGCAAGATGACGTATCTTGCATATGCACGCATCTCAACATAAATATTCAGTGTCACTAAGCATGTAATCTCACCACGTCTTACGAACGAAGCGAATCTACGGATGAGCATAGATGAGCATAAAATTCAGCATACCAACGAGTTTTCAAGGAAATCTAGAGAGCTGAAGCTTTGCGCCACACGTGACTTTTTTATGCCATCCGGGCTCCTCAGAGCCCCTTCGCACCGAGGCGGAACCCGGCGCGAAGAGACGAAGGCTAAAGCCTCCTACATGGCCTCCGAAATAGTTCGCCGGGAAGCATTCTCGGAGGGCATGCTCTGGTCGCCTAAAGAAGAGGGCCGATTCTGCCCCATAAATTTACTAAGTCGTATCTGTCACGCCATTATCGCATCGGTTGCGTGAATTTTACCTTCGGAAAGCCGGGGACAAATGTCATGCTGATCTGAGAAGTGCATTCCCAGTTCATTTTCTTTTCTTCATCCGTTACGGAAGTTCTCTTTTTTCGGACTCGACCAAAGAAGGTGGGGGGAGGGGTGGCGCTGCGATTAAACTAGCCCTTGCACCTTAATGTAGTACCCTCCACATGCCCCTTTTTTAACTCTTCCTTTGTCTTTCAACCCACTATTCCCCAACCCCAGTGTAGGGTAGCATACCGGATACTAGCATCTGGTTAACCTCCCTGCCTTCCTTTTTTCTCGTCTCTCTCCCTCCACATGCCAATGGCTGAACTAATAGGTAGCGTAGAACTATACATGGCTTCCCTCGCAATACAATGGTGTTTATGAAACAAGTGGTTAAAGGTGCAGTAGATGCACCCACTTAAACGAACTTAGGACCGTTCCGTGCGCTAGCCGCACAAACGCAACGCACGTAATCCCTGCCCCACGCAAGCGGGGGACAAATAAGCCGATTGGTGACGCTCTTAACCTTCCGTTTGGGTGCGGCAGGTGTGCCGGCACGTGCGTTGCGGCTGTGCGGCTAGCGCATGAAACGGTCCTTACTGTCCTTTACGCAGGTCTTGCACTTACGACCAGGTACGACTAACAAGCGCTACAGCACGAGTCAGGAAGAAGGGCGTATACCTGTGCTGGTGAGGGCACCTGGCCGAGCGCCTGCAGCCGCCTGAGGTCCCCCTGGTCGGCGGAACGCGACGAGGGGAGCGCCCTGGCTGCGCGGGCCTCGTCCTGTGAGGCGGACTTCTTGATGGCAGCCCGGCCCGGTGGTTCGCTCTTTGGCCGCTCGCCGCCCGACAGGCTGCGCTGCAGCGTCAGCCGCCGGATGCTGAACGGCATGGCGACGCTGCGAGAGCAATATACATTCTTTCAGCACGACGATGACACTAGGAAAACGATACACAGCCCTAATTTACATCGAGGAACGTCTGAGAACCTCATCGGTCAAGGTATAGCGAGACATCATCTACGATTACCAGTGATGCCAGATATATGGTAAGGGTGTGCTATGGCACCTTCAATTTTAAAGTAGATTTCAATATTGCAAATGAAATGCGAATCGAATATTCTGCGAAAATTTTCAATCAAATATTGTAACGGTAGGATGAGAACGACGAAGAAGACAAAGAGGAGGACGATGTTGTCAGATCTGTGAGCCAACTGGGCGCCATCTTGTCCACCACCGAGTTTATTCCTCGTTTTATAAAGTAAAGTTATTCTCCCGTAACATCATTGGTGGGAGGTGCGGGGTACTCACTTCACGCAAAACGGAGCTTCGTAGCGGGCGCCTAGTGGTCTCCCCCATGGCGACTGCAGTCAACAATGCCGACCCTTCCCCGACTACCGTGCCTTCTCCAACTACGTCCGTGCTTTCTCCAACTGGACCGTCAACCCTCATCTTGGAGCCCCCGAGAGATCCAGGTACCTTTTCTGGCACTGATGGCATTGACGTAGAAGCCTGGCTGAAGTCATACGAACGAGTGGGTGTACGTATGCGATGGGATCCAACGCTCATGCTGGCCAACGTGATTTTTTATCTCAGAGGTACCGCAAAGGTCTGGTACGAGACGCACGAGGAAGAACTGACTAGCTGGGAGTTATGCAAGCAAAAGCTCCGGGAGCTATTTGGCAGGCCTGTGGGAAGTCAACGCGCCGCCCAAAACGAGCTCGCACGTCGAGTTCAGACGTGCACCGAATCATACCTCACGTACATTCAGGACGTGCTCGCTTTGTGCCGCAAGGTAGGACTCGCAGATGTCCGAAGCCGATAAGGTTGGCCATATTATTAAGGGCATAGCAGATGACGCCTTTCACCTTCTTGTGTTCAAGAATTCATCTACGGTCCACGACATATTTCTGAATGCCGGCGCTTTGAAGAAGCGAAGAGCCGCCGTGTTCTCCACCAGTTTGCCCGGCTTCCAAACACGGCTGCAACGTCCACATGCGAAGACCCTCGCCTGCCTTCTACGGAAAGTCCCGGTGACGTTGTCCGTATTGTCCGTCGGGAAATAGAAGCCGCAGCTCCACTCGTGTCAGCCTCCCCCAACTCCGAAAGCTATCACGCCACCGTCTCTCTCATACAGACCGTCGTGAGGCAAGAACTGGCCAACGCCGGCTTAAACGTCTGCTCCATTCATCGTCCAGACTACGCCACACCAAATCCACCCGTGACTGTTCCGCCCAACCGACGTTTTTCTGCCAGCCCACATTATCGCGACCCGGCGGTATGGCGCACCCCAGACGACCGGCCGATATGCTTCAATTGCGGTCGTATAGGCCACATTTCGCGTCACTGTCGTGCTTGGTCCAGCTCTGCTCCGTGGCCTCACCCTCCGCCCCATCGCCCACCTGTCTGGAATTCACGCTCATCACCGAAAACAGAGCCGCTAACGCCTGAGAATTCCTCGCGCCCCCGATCCAGCCGCTCCCCTTCGCCACAACGCCGTTTTCTCCCGCTCGCCCCCATCTCGCCGATCGCCGTCCCCAAGCTCGTTCCGGCGTTCACCTCCGGAAAACTGACGGGAGCAGCTCTTGGAGGTGATGCTGCAATACCGACCCGATCCCAAAATCCTCTACTGACCTTGCCCGCACATCAGAACCTTATCAATGTTGACGTCGACGGTGTACCTACTACAGCCCTCATTGACACTGGCGCACACGTGTCTATCATGAACGCTGACCTTAGAGCACGGCTGAAGAAAGTCCTTACTCCTGGCCCAACTCCTGTGGTCCGAACGGCCGATGGTGGAAAAGTCGCCGTAATTGGTGTGTGCTCAGCTCGCGTCAGCGTCGCCGGACACCACACATCAGTTCTGTTTTATGTTTTAGAACACTGCCCTAATGACATAATTTTGGGCCAAGACTTTTTGTCTGAACATTCGGCCTTGATAGACTGCTCTGCCGGTATAGTGCAACTCGCTCTACCTAATGTTGTTGATCCTCCAAGTTGCCCTCCAAGTCGGCTTTGTTCTACAGAACACCTGCGTCTCCCTCAACGAACAGTAGCTTACATAGGCGTCTCCCCTGTTCCACCTGTCCCAGACGGTGTTTATATTGTGTCCCCCAATGTTGACGTCCTGCTTTCGCACAACGTTGCGTTTCCTCACACCGTCATCACTATTACGGCCAATGCATCCTGCCTACCCTTAGTGAATTTTTCACTATGTACACAAGTCCTCCCTCGTGGTATATCTCTAGCCGAGATCGTGCCGGCGGCAGAGTGCCATATTTGCACTCTAAGTTATGACAGCATCCCGAGTGCCGAAAAAACTTCGTCTACTCCTCCATCAGACCAAAGTGTGTTAACCAAGATGATTGCCCCCGACTTGCCGAAAGAACAAGCTAACGACCTGCGTTCCCTGCTTGCATCTTTTTGGGACATCTTCGACCTTGGCGACCGCCCACTCGGCCAGACGTCCGTTGTTAAGCACCGGATTGATACAGGCGATACGAGTCCCATCCATCGGAGACCCTACCGTGTTTCCCATGCAGAGCGGCGCATCATCCAACAGGAGGTCGACAAAATGCTTTCTCGGAATATCATCGAGCCTTCATGCAGTCCCTGGGCGTCCCCTGTTGTACTTGTAAAGAAGAAGGACAACAGCTGGAGATTTTGCGTCGATTATCGCCATTTAAACAAAATAACGAAGAAGGACGTCTACCCTTTACCACGCATAGACGATGCCCTCGATTGCCTTCACGGCGCAAAATATTTTTCCTCCATTGACCTCCGCTCTGGGTACTGGCAGATTGCCGTTGATGACATGGACCGTGAGAAGACGGCGTTTATCACTCCCGACGGCCTTTACGAGTTTAAAGTGATGCCATTCGGTTTATGTAATGCGCCCGCCACATTCGAACGTATGATGGACGCTCTGTTGCACGGCTTCAAGTGGTCCATCTGCCTGTGCTACCTGGACGACGTTATCGTTTTTTCGCCTTCTTTTGCGACGCACCTTGAAAGGCTATCGAAAATCTTATCTGTCTTTCGTAAGGCGGGCCTGCAACTCAATTCGGCAAAGTGCCACTTCGGCCGTCGTGAAATTTCTGTCCTCGGACACCTCGTTGATTCCGTGGGGGTTCGCCCTGATCAAGATAAAATACGCGCAGTAAGAGATTTCCCTGTACCAACCTGTACCAAAGACGTTCGCAGTTTCGTTGGCCTCTGTTCTTACTTCCGCCGCTTTGTTAAAAACTTCGCCGACGTAGCACGCCCTCTCACTCAACTTCTCAAAAAAGACGCTGGCTTCATCTGGGGCCCTGAGCAAGCAGATGCGTTTCAAATCTAGTGTGTCTGCTTACGTCTCCGCCTATCCTCGCCCACTTTGATATTTCATCTCCAACAGAAGTTCGTACAGACGCAAGTGGCTATGGCATCGGTGCAGTCCTCGCCCAGAAACAACAAGGACGAGACCGTGTTGTTGCTTATGCCAGCCGCCTTCTTTCGCCTGCTGAAAGAAAATATTCAATAACCGAACGGGAATGTTTGGCACTTGTTTGGGCAGTCGGTAAATTTCGTCCCTATTTGTACGGCCGGCCATTCACAGTAATCACAGATCACCACACCTTGTGCTGGCTTTCGTCCCTTAAAGACCCTTCAGGCCGTCTTGGCCGTTGGGCGCTGCGCCTTCAAGAATTTGATTACTCAGTCCTGTATAAAACCGGCCGCCTGCATCAAGATGCGGACTGCTTGTCCCGGTATCCTGTCGACCCTCCAGACGGCGACTCCTCTAAAACCACCCTTCCTATCGACGTTTTCTCTCTATCCGCGTTTCATGACATTGGAATCGAGCAGCGACGAGATACTTTCTTGGACGGTATTATCCGAAGGCTCACATCGGTGAGGCCCGACCCTTCCCTTCGAATGTTTGAAATACATGATGGTGTATTGTACCGTTGCAATATGCGTCCTGACGGCCCCGAAAGACTACTCGTCGTTCCCATTCAATTGCGTCACACTGTTCTCGCCCAGCTTCATGATGCACCTACAGCAGGTCACCTCGGCGTGTCACGGACCTACGACAGAGTTCGCCGGCGCTTCTTCTGGCCTGGCATGTACCGCGACGTCTGCCGTTATATTGCAGCCTGCGACCCTTGTCAACGACGGAAAAAACCAAATGCCCCTCCGGCCGGACGTCTTCAGCCACTGCACATCCCACAAGACCCATTCTACCGTGTTGGCGTGGACCTGCTTGGCCCTTTTCCTACGTCAGCTGCGGGTAATCGGTGGATTGCAGTAGCAACCGATTATGCTACCCGATACGCGATCACACGGGCCCTTCCAACCAGCTGTGCAACTGACGTGGCCGATTTCCTTTTGGAGGACGTCATCTTACATCATGGCGCCCCTCGACAACTCCTTACCGACCGAGGCAGCTACTTCCTTTCCAAAGTGGTTGATGACCTCCTCCGCTCCTGCGCCACTAAACACAAGCTCTCGACTGCTTACCATCCACAAACAAATGGTCTAACGGAGCGCCTCAATCGCACTCTCACCGACATGCTCTCCATGTATGTCTCCGCCGATCACCGCGACTGGGACACTACGTTACCGTTTGTAACATTCGCGTACAATTCTTCCAGACACGACACCGCTGGGTTCTCTCCTTTTTTTCTGTTGTTCGGCCGTGACCCTGCGCTACCTTTCGACACCCTCCTGCCGGCCGGACTAAATGACAAGTCTCAGTACGCTCGTGATGCAATAATGAAGGCCCAAGCGGCACGCCAAGTTGCTCGACGACGCTTACTGGACTCCCAGGACTATCAGAAGAGCGTATACGACGCCCGCCATCGTGACGTCCACTTCACACCCGGAGATCTCGTTCTGTTATGGTTCCCCT